TGTTCTAGTTTCTCAGAAAAGTAGGAAGTACGAACTTACTAATTCACCCGATTCATTTTGACATTCTTGGCCTTAAAGTCATCTCGACTGTAAGCGATTTTTGGTGCAGTGTGAGTGCTCGTGTACCTAGCCTTAGTTAACAAGTCAAAACTTGCTTCTATAATTATGCCTTTTAATGCAAAATAATTCACAATATCCAGAAGCTTGCAACACTTAGCGCTGTATGTTCCGCTTCTTACAATGTACAAGCAATAGACATACACGAACAATAGACTGACTTAATTATATTTTAGAAAAGGCAAAACAAGCGAAAAAAAAGAATTGCGCGACAAAGATTCTGTTTAATTTGTTTCAGATGAGCTTTTTCATCATCATTACGATATCTCTTATGCAAGCGATTCAGTCCTTCTTTAAACTCACTGTTCCATCACTTGTCTCTGAAGTGCTAAATTCTCGATCTTCTTAGTTTCTCAGCTATTTTTCCCCATTCCAATGGTGAACTGGAATGTTTTTATTTTAGCAGCTCCATTTCACAGGCAGCTGTCTTTAGAAGCGCGTGCCCAAAGAGGATTTTACGAAATAAATTAATGTAATTGGTTTTGAACGTGTTGCATAACTTCACTTTTGTGTATATGCAGAATTCTTATCGATTTACCTTATTTATCATGGGGGAAATTTTGTTCTGGTGTGTTGTAGGACCTTCTAGTGTGGCTACTGAGTAACAATTTACTAAACTGAGTTGAACAATTAAATTAAACAAGAGGCTCCAAGTAGCCTATACTCATGCGCAAGAGAATACAAGTCATATGAAATAGATACGCAATGCGTACATAGTCAGACAAGCAATTTGAAAACGTTTGCCATCTGACAACTAGGAATAATACGGGAGAAATGCTAATTTGAAAAAAGTGCATCATAGATCTAAGATATAGATAATTAAGATGCAGGAGAGAAGAGAACTGCTGTAACGCAATATGCCATCTTTATTACAAAGATATCGTCAGGCAAATAACAAAGCAAGCCGAGTCAAAAAATTATAGATAGGGAATTAACAAACGATCAGAATTGCGAATTGGATGAAATATCTTTTTTCATAGCAATTCTGAACTAAATCTCTTTAGGCATTTTTTAAGCGTTAGACTTGTTTATGTTGGTTGTTAGGAATATACTCCTGTGCTGGGCTATTGTAACAGATATCAACTTTGCCTTAGTTTTATTATATTTGTAATTTGATTTTAAAGTATACTTGAAACTTGATATAATAACAGTACTCCTCAGTTGGCACCTGGTTTTTTTTGTAAGTTATATTATGCAATGCCATATTTCCGAGAATTAAAATATTAGTATATACATATCCTTACACATGTTGCTAAAAATGTAATGTTTCAATAATTGACACAAAATACAAGGTGTACTAGATTAACCAAGAAGCAAAAAAAAAGAAAAAGGAAAAAAAAAAAAAAACTTAAACACACAAGTGTTTTATTACCTGACATTGTGCGTCACTTTCTTCTTGATTCGAGCAATTTCAATTTCTACTGGACACAAACCTTGTACCAGAATAAATTTAAGTATATTACAGTCCTCTTTGCATTTTCTAAAACCTAAAGATAAAAACAGTTGTCTGAAATGACACCAAAACACTTTCTCATGGGAACTCGAGCAAGGAAATTTCAAAGCTCAGAGGAATTGTCAGGTAAAACACGGGTAAAAGTTCATCATCAGTTTCATTTCACCAGTACTTTCAAGTGTTTCATACATTACTTCAAAATTTATTTTCTACATTTGGTGTTGTTAGAAATGATTTCTTTTGAGAAGATATTTAAAAGAGTCGCACAGAAGTTTCCAATAATCTCGGTAAAAAGTTTTAGCCCACTTGTTACTCGAAATTTTGGTAGATTCCTTCTTAACACCTAAGCTAGTATATAACCTAACCTAAGCTAGTATATAACCTAAGCCAGTACATAACTGAACGACTTTAATCTGCATTTGACAATGGCGACAGAAAAGGCCGAAACGTCAAGTTATAGCATTTACTTTTTCTTTTAAAATAATTTCTTTGTAACCGAGTATCTTTTGAGATTTGAGGGACAAAAGAAACTCGAATATTTTGTCCTGAAATCCTCGGAGACATGCCAGAATATTAATATGCGATATATCGAACGTGGCCTATTACCTGCCCGTTTTGTTAAACACGTCCATTTACACGAACAGGAAGCATTTTTTGACCAAAAGATTAAGTATACAGAGCACGTTCTTAGTAAATGATTCTTCGTAATATGTCCTTGAATCTCCAAAACCCTYATAAATTTGAGACTTGTCATATTGTCAGATGGCGATCGACATAAACAATGGCTTACCTCTCCAGAAACACTTTCTTGCTGTTCATGCATGCTCACATGTCAGTTCAGAATTTTAACAACGAACTAAAGTACTGATAGGTAATTTCACACCGTACCAAATTGGGGAAAAAGCACAACGTTTGCGAAAAAGCGGCAGTTTCTTGAAGAATCCAATATGACGGACGGGGCTCCAAAGACCACGGTAAATGTATGCATACATACATTTGCATGCACAAATGTGACACCAAAACGGAGAAACGGAGCCCAATCCTTAACTCATGCGCCATACTGCTCATGAGTAACAACCACTTATTGAACTGTTACTCAGTAGCCACGCTAGAATTACAAAAAAAAATTAACAAATTATCAAGACGAGGGCATTCCCGCAAACATGTGGATTATGTATTCTGTTACTCCTCGGCAATTTATCTTTACTTAACTACATATGTCAAAAAGTATGTGTGAGATTGTCAGCGAAGGTGGATTAAATTAAATCACGTTTGTCTCGTTAAAGACCGCATAGAGCATTATCCCGCATGACAGGACGTTTTGAAACCGGAAGCTATGAGATAGAGAGGTTACAATCCAAGCAAAATCGATTAGCTTTTGAAAATATAGTAGACATTCATCTAACAATTATTATCTCGGTTTGCAGGTTTTAAGAGCCCTCTCTTGTAAGCACTGCCTGAACAGGAGGAAAGGTAAACAATGGCTACAAGAGAGGACGAAGGGTAAGCGAGTAAATCTTTCATATATAAACCATATTTCTAAGGTAATCCCTCTCAAGCGATTTACAGAAGACTCCTGGTCTCAGAAATGCCAGGAGGGTGTGGAAAAATCACGACCCAAGATGGCGTGTTTATCACGTGATATGACGTCACCATCTCATGTTTCATTTTTCCCTGATGGAATTCGAACCCATGTCCTTCCGGATACCGCTTGGGCGTTCAAATTCAACTGATCCAATCTACAGAGAGACGTACGGTGAGCTTGATCGTTTACTAACCTAGTCACACATATAACACTCGTCCCGAATATTGCTAGCAAGAGGCCTTTACTGCCTTACTGCAATATTAAGTTGCTCTATCAAAGTTAGCTCTAACTAATTTAGGCTTGGCCTTTTCTTAATTCATTAGGGCAAGAAAATCAGGATTTTGAGAAATGGTGTTCGAATCAAAATTTAAAAGAATGCAAATTTTTACGTGAAAATTTAGAACTTAAAACAATTTTTTTTTTAACTGACTTAGGTCCAGAGATTTATGGAGTGAAAATATATATCGATAAAAGACAGGTTAATAAAAGCACATCATCTTATTATTTCATTACTAGGGTACAATATTTTCCCTGTTTGGGTTGACTTTACACTTGTGGATAACAGACATTCCTTTAAATCCACTCGGAAAACGACGAAATGAGCTATCACAAGAATAAAAGGGTAAAAAGCTCTTATCCCGTTTAATATAGTTGACTGAAATTAGTTTCCTTTTTCTCTAACAGATCGACTTTTTTTCATTGCAACGACCTTCACGAAACGCCATCGAAGATCTATCTTTCTCGACCCAAGTAAGCTCGTAATGTAGTGTTTTGTTTCACATCAGTCCATAACTACTTTTATAGTCTATGTAATTTAATTCATTCAGTTTAAGCTCTATGAGCTAGTGAATGACTCTCTTAAACAATTAACTGTACCAGCTATAACTTGAAGTCTTATGGACTCACAGCTTTTGCTGTCGCCTCGCCACAACTTTGGAATGACTTACCAATATAAATAAGAAATTCAGACAATCTTCAAATTTTCAAAACTCGGCTTAAAACTCATTTATTTAAGGAAGTCTTTTTGCAATGATTTTATTGATTCTTGTTTTATTTAATTTTTGATATTATTCTATTTTAATCATATTTTACAACCTGTAAAACCCCTAGATCACGCTTGGATGGGCGCTATAAAAATATTGTTTATTACTACTGTTATTATTATTATTATTATTATTATTATTATTGTTGTTGTGGTTATTATTATTATTATTAATTAACCCATACATGGTGTTTTGTTGGTGGCCATTAGTGGTTATATTAACTTGTTTCTCGTCTTTTTAGGTCTTCCAACGTCATCCACAGCGCTTAAACCATCAGGTAAGATTACCACCTGCAGGCTACGTTAAAAATGGATAAAGAAACATTCTTAACCAAACCCGCGGTCAATCTTCTTTTCTTATATGATATGATATACGTTTCTTTTCAAAGCAAAGCTTCTTCTAAAACACTTTTGGACTCTTCTCAAAGTAACGGCCTGCTTCCTTTAATGAACGAGAAAGAACAAAATAGGATGAGGGGTATGCGAGTTAATTCCCCAATATAGGCCTTATTATCAAGGTAGTGCCGCGCCTCTGGAGTTATTTATATTTGGTATTCAGTCCTCTCGCGGATTCATTTATCATGCGCGTTGCATGGAAGTTTTCGTGGAAGATGATAATGCTACTTATTTTTTGTTGTACTTGCGAGCCAATCCTATTATGGGAGGATATGATATCTGCAACTTTCGATAACATTCATATAAGTGATTGATTTTGTATTTTGATAACCGTAATTTAGATTGTGTGGCCAGCAGTGAAGACAATTCAGTTCCTGAAATGGTTATCCCATCCAAGGTCGACGTAGCCTTTGGACAATATGAAAATACCAGCTACTGGTATGTGAATGTATCATGGACTCCAATGAACGGTAAGCAACCTTGTAAGCCTTGGATCATGTAGTCTTGGACAGGACTTCTTGTCTTGGAACATTGTTATAACGTGGTTGCCTCTTGTTACATTAGCAAAAGAGTGCCTGATTTCTGATTGGATACCTGGTAATACAAACACCGCTATTATCACCTGGTTCCATGGAAACCTGAATTTATATAATCTACCCCTTTAATGTAGACCTCCAGGGTACCGAAAAACAACGCTGCCACGTTTGGCGTCGCATTTAAGTGGGCGACTGTGATCCAAACTGAATAGAAAGCGCGACAGATGAGAGCCCAAACAGCACATTTAAGGGGCGGGGGGTTAGCTACTGACTAGGGCTATCCAACCCCTTTCTGAGGAAGCAAAACATAAAAAAAAAAATTGAAAAAGACTGTGAATATTATGGCAGAAATAAAGGCAAACGTTCTGGACAGGTACGTAATTGTAATTTCCACTTTCTGGCATTGCTAGAATTTCTGGTGTGACAGTTTTCAATTAGGTGCCAATTCTCAAACTGCAACATTGTGGGTGCATGTTTCATTGATTCTGCAACCCAACGGTACCAGCCATCCCTGAGCCAAAATGGTTGATGATCACAAACTGTTCAAATAGTGTAATTTTTATTTGATTTAAATCTAGTATTACTATTTAACGTTAATGTTATGGTTATACAGCAGTTCCTTTATATTTTATCGTTTAGATTCCTCTGGACACTTATATGGTGCTCTACTTAGTCTAGCCCTAAATTTCAAAAACGACGTAAATTGCACTGTACTGCGAATGGTAAGCAAATTTATACACTTTAGAAATGCAGCATTTCAAACTGCTCTACCTCAGGCTTATGAGTTTTACGGGTAACCTGGAAATGTGTCAAGAGAAGTTGTACTCAGGCTGCCTTTTTTTTGCACTTTTAACTACAAATTGGGTAACAGAAAATGCAGGTTCTGGCACTTTTAAGAGAATAGAAGAGGCAATATGTGTAGATAGCTTGATTCTTAGGGTTTTAAGTCATTGTGTTAAAAGATGGACACGTCCTAGTTTGCACTGGTGGTGCATTGTGTTGCACTGCAGCCATCCAGTTTTGCCATGCAATGCATTATTTTTGGTTTTCATCAGTCTGGCATGTCACAGGCAAAGCAATTAATAGGTCTATATACTCAATATCATTAAGGAGAAATGAATGCTTTAATAAATTCAAGGCAGGGTGGTCCTAGCCCTTGACTTGACTGTGTAGTATAGTAAAAATATAAAGCATCCTAACGAATTCATGAATTCCTTTATTGGAAGCAGCATAAAATACAACTTTTTTCGACAGAATCACTGGAAAAGCCTAATGCAATGAGCATGCATAGGTTCAGGTTTTTATAGTTTTTCAATTCGTATTTTTTGTTTCTATTGTAGCTGAAAAATCCACTTAGGGAGCTTCAATAAAGTTTGTATGTACGTATGTATGTATGTTCAATGATGTGTGACTAATTTCGTCTTTTTGTTTTAGAATCAAACGTTTCTCAACATAAATATATCCTTTTATGGCTATAGCTATCCGGGACCTGTTTATCTATGGGTGAGTTTTAAGATTGGTTTAGAGAAAAATAGATATGTGTACGTAAAATCATTCGTTCGTTCGTTCGTTCATTCATTTATTCGGTCAGTCAGTCAGTCAGTCAGCCAGTCAGTCAGTTAGTCAGTGAGTCAGCCAGTCCGCCAGTCTACCAGTCAGCCAGTCAGCCGGTCCGCCAGTCCGCCAATCCGCCAATCCGGCAGTCCACCAGTCCACCAGTCCACCAGTCCACCAGTGCCCTAGTCCACCAGTCCACCGGTCCACCGGTCCACCAGTTCACCGGACCACCGGTCAGCCAGTCAGTCAGTCATTCGCTCATTATCAGTTTCATTCATTTATTATGCTCTCTCCATTTTAAAGATTCATGGTCTTCCTTACCGCAAAAAAGTAATGGAAACGGCTACATACTACCCAAGTAAGTTTGAATTACTTCATGTTGAGCCTAATGGACAATGATTGCATGAGGTTTCTTTAACATCCAGGTATAATTAAGGTGTTATCCGTCCAAGCCGAATGCTGAGGCCTAAAATGTTCTTAACAACAATAAATGTCAGACAAACCAATTGAATAAGTGACATTGCTGTAATCAAAATCATCATTAGCGTGAGTTAATAACAATAACACTGGGTTCCTTTAATTATTAAGAATTATCTGAGAACGTGCGTGTAACGAAGTTTTGCAAAACTCTCCATTACCTTCACAGTTTTGTAATCAAGGCTCACATTATTTTGGCCGTCGTTGCAAGCAAGGTTAAATGATGAGCATCTTGACTTTGAAATGGCGTCATCATTGACCAAAATGGACCTTTATTTCGGCGATACGGAGGCCATTGTGAATTCTATTGTTTCAAATAGCTATTATGGGATGCACAGGGGGAAAATTAGTATGACTTTATTATATTCTATTGTTCGGAAGGGAAAAGATAAAGTAAAGTGCATAGCATTTATCAACCCTATTGATAAAGGAGGCTTGAAAATGCCCAACAGTCAATGATTTCTGCCCAAAGAACTTGATTTGCATCAAGAGATATCTCTCCACCGATCCCGCTAGCTGGAATTTTTTTCTGGATTTTTATCACAGGGCAAATTAGCATGTAAAAAAGTAGGGGGAAAATTCTTGTTTCATTGTAATTTTAACTATGCTAAACTACCGATAACTCTTCCAGAATTTTACAAAGAATGCATTGTGACTTGGACCCTTTTAAACAAGGACATCCCCTCCTCATCCTCTGAAATAGCAGCTTATTTGCATTGAATCTAAGTCAATTTATAAAAGTAGGCTGATTGATCTTGGAATCGTAAGAATTGGAGACCCCTACGACACAAGGGGAGAGTTCAAGTCGAACAAGGAACCATTATATTCAACTCTCTCACCAGTTGAACATTTTCTACTTTTCAGTCTCTTCAATGCTTTTCCAGAAGAATGGCGCAAAATATTAAAAATAAATTAAAACTCCATCTCCTCAAAAACTCATGATCTAATCCAAACTGAAAACAATTTACGCGCTGAAAGGATCGAAAAAAAGTCAATTTCCAATCGAAGTCATTATGAAATCAAAGTCAGTTTTGTTTCAAAGATATCCAGTATACCAACAGCGCAAAAGAAATACAACGAAGCTTTCAGCACGGACACATCCCAGTTGGACTGGGACAAGATATATCTACTGCCCTTCAAAACAACATTGGATACTAAATTAAGAGAATTCCAATAAAAAAGATTGAACAGGATCTTATACACAAGCAAGATGCTGTTTAAGTTTAGAAAAGTAGATTCTCCCTTATGCGATTTTTGTGAAAAGGAGTTGGAAACCCGATAGAACATCTCTTTTTCCATTGTACAAAAGTCTGTATGTTTTGGGATGATTTAAAGGTTGTACTTAATTCTTTAAATATAACTATATGGCGGTTAGGTTTGATATCAAGGATGTTCTTTTGGGATTTTAGATACGGATAATATAAGCATTATAGTCAACTACATCCTTCTTGAAAGTAAATATTTTATTTACCGCTGTAAATTAAATTATGGCTCTTTATGTTTAAGACTGTTAGTCGATAAATTAAAAAAAGAACGTTTCAAACCGAACGTTTTATCGCGAAAAAAAACAGCAAAATCCATTTTCACGATAAAAATGGAAACCTTTACTCCTATTAATACAACAGTAGCTGTTGTCCAAACCTCGTTTTTCCAAGATTCCCTTAATTACTCTTGAATTTGTTTAAGTTGAATAAGTTATGTAATCCTTGTAGTGTAGTGCAGCGTAGATTTCTTTGCGGTTTGTATAATTAAGGTAATTGTTGTAAATTTTGTAATGGTTATACGTATCGAACTGTATGTTCTTGTACTATACCTGTAAAAGAAAATATAGATCAAATACAAAAAGAGCTCCACCTTCTCTCACTCCCTCCCCTCCCTCCTTCCCTTCCCTCCCTCCTTCCTTTCTCTCCCTCCCTCCTTCCTTTCTCTCCCTCCCTCCTTCCTTTCTCTCCCTCCCTCCTTCCCTTCCCTCCCTCCTTCCTTTCTCTCCCTCCCTCCTTCCCCTCCCTCCCTCC